GACAGAATCTTGCCAGACTAACTCTAACCCCCAGCGACCGCAACTAAACACTCTGAATTCCTTAGGGTGGTGCCAGTCTCATCCTGTTAGTTTTCATACGCTCAGGCTGTGGGCTGAGGAGATGCTTGAGATTCCTTTCCGACTCCCAATGATCTTGGACCTCCTCACTCAAGTCTTCCATCACAGATCATAATTGAAGTAGCTAGTGAAAAGTAGGTATTGGTTTTCTGCCTCACACAAGGCTCTAAGTATAGTTTCTGATTTTGGCTTCTACATGAATTGGCTTAGCCTACTTAACACAGATAAGTATTTGTTAACACGGTAACAATGTCACAGCAGATGTCAACACTTAATCAAATGTAGCTAATCTCAAAAAAGCTAAGTAGGGTTGGACCTGCTTAGTGGTTGGATTGAGAGAGCATCAGGATATCCCAGGGATATGGACTAGACCAGGAAGTTGAAAAAAGATCCTCAGAGAAGACGGTAGCAAACCATTTCTGTACTGTTGCCTGGAAAACAAGATGGATGTGTCCATATAATTACTGGGAATTGAATTAATCTCAAGGGAGACCGTATCTTTACCTTACTCAGATAACCACCCACAGTAATATTCTTAGAAGTATGAACCTTTTTTGAGAATTGAATATAAATGTACTAGGTGACTAGACTAATCATAACCTCTCTCTGTCTCTGATCTGTACTTCGATAATACAGAAGAAAGGCAACAGTTCATTTTTTGTAATGTTTGAACTTGCATAAAACTGGAAGAAATATAAATATTTTCACTAAAATTTAATATTTATAAAGCCTACTTAGGATACTGATCGACAAATCCTGTTTTACAAAGAGGGCTCTTTTATACTATAAATAAATAGATCTGGCGTAATGTTTTCAAGACAAATAATTCCAGAGCAGTGCATTTTTTTTTCTGCTTATAAGAAAGCTGCTTTCATATGACTCAAGTGGGATTTCATTTAGTAATGAATAGTATTTTAAAACAATCAGTAATACGGTTGTATAGATCAAAGAAACAGCTTTGGGTTAATAGTAGAACAAGAACTATGCAATGAACAATGGCCAGTTCTCCATAAACCTATCATAGTTATCCACCTTACTTATATATTGTTTAATCTTTGAGTTGGTAATATTTTATGGCTGTATCCTGTCAATTATGTTACATTCTTAAGGCAATTATATCAGGAAAAGTGAACAAATTATGATTAATTGATATTTATTATTAAGTCATAATCTTGTATAAAGAAGCGGATGGAATAAGTTTTCTTTGACATTTTGGAAGAATTGGATGGCTACGGTTGTAACTGGTACTTTTATTATTCATAGAAATGTTTCTTTGCCTTAAAACTCAGCTCCTGAAATCATGCAGTTGTAGAGAAACTTAATACTCTGAGTTACAGAGGCTGAATCTGGCCAATTGATATGAACATTTGTATACTTGAGGAGTTTGAGTAGTTTGGCACTGCTGAGAGCTGGAAATAATATTAGTGACATAGTCACAAAGGTCTCTGATTTCTTTGCCATCTTTCCTTTCTTCATGTAGAGCAAAGGGTATGTAATGTAAACCTCAAATTTTCTGCCATACAGTGGATGGAGTTATCATAAGTTTATAATACTGTAATATCAGACTTAACAATATGATCATATGGAGCTTGTATTAAATAATATAAATCATTATATTAAAATGAAAAAAATCAGTGCATCTACATCATAGAGTAATGGGCAGGAGGGGAAGATAGTAATGGCAGTTGGATGTGGGGAGGGAAAATCCCAGAAATTGCCATGTCATCTCTCCCTTTATCCATTCTAAATAGACACTGGGAACTTTACATCCATGCACATACAATCATCCACAGTACTGCATTGCTAAAGAATGGGATATGATTGCCCCCTCCTCAAGAAGCAATCACTGGATCCCACCATCCTGGACAATTTTTGTCCAATGTTGAACTTCCCTTTTTTAGGGAAGGTTGTGGAGAAGGTGGTTATGCAGCAGCTCATTGGGCCCTGGATGAAGCGGATTATCTGAACCCCTTTCAGTCAGATTTCAGGCCCGGGCATGGGATGGACACAGCATTGGTTGTGTTTTTAGATGATCTCTGATGGGAGCAGGATCGGTAGTTCATCTGTCCTTGCTCTTCTTGACCTCTTGGCAGCCATTGATACCATCAACCATGGTATCCTTCTGGATTGGCTCTGTGGGCTGGGAGTGGGCAGCAACAGTATTGTGCTGGTTCACTTCCTTTCTGCAGGGCCGGTACTGGTTGGTGTTAATTGGTCCTGCCCTTGAACCTTGTTATGTGAGGTTCCATAGAGCTCGGTTCTCCCTCCACTCCTAGTTAACATCTACTTGAAGCTGCTGGGTGAAATCATTTGTCACCACTGGGTGCGGTATCAACAGTATGGTGATGATACTCAGTTGTATATCTGCCCCTGGCAAACTAAGTGATGTAGAGGATGTCTTGTCCCGGTGCCTGGAGGCTGTAGAGGTCTGGATGGAGAACAACAGACTTCAGCTGAACCCTGGCAAGACTGAGTGGTTCTGGGTTTTTGGGCCTTCTAACCAGTATATTTATTGGGGACTAAGCAAAAACAGCAGAAGAAAAAGAATGAATTTCAGTTGTTTGAAGAGCAAAGTGAAAAGTGTAATCAGATGGAAACAGCAATCTGTACTTATTTTCTTCAGTATATTTATTGAAGGTATTGCATATAAGAAAATCATCAGTCTATCTTGTCCTGATTTACCCGGAGTTTTTTAATTGAATGTATAAATTAAGTCACTGAGCTTCCCATCAAGTGGAGTTCATGAAAAGTGACTCTAGATAGTATTCGGAACAAACTTTATTTATTTAACATGAAAATCAGGGTGCAGTGCTTAGTTGTAAGATATAAGCTGTGGAGAGAGAAAACTCATGATTCCATCCCCAGCATGTTCTGCAGGTTTGTTTGGAGAAGTCTCCTGTTCTTTGCCTGATCCCGCCCCCCTCCCCCCATATGGCTTAATTTCAATTTTTATATAAATATTTTTAGAAAGATTCTCTCTTCACTTTTATTTAAAGGTGATGATGAAACACATGTAGTGGATGGCAGTAAACCTAAAGAACATTCGAAAGATGATGAAGACCAGATAATGAAATACAGAGAGCTTCTTCAGAGTATTCAGGAAAAAGAAAGGAAGCACCGAGAAACTGATATGGAAATGGAAATTAAATGGGTTCCTGGTAGGTGGCTCTTTCTTTTTTATAGTATTGGTTGTCCATTTCTGATCTCTTCTCCCCACTTAAAAAAGGCTGAATAGCTTAAATTCCATCATTAAAATATATACTGATTGCAGCAATTAAACTAATGATTAGTTAATATTAATTCAAATTATTCTACTGAAAAGTACTTAAATATTTGTTTATGGAGAGATAATATGAGCAAACATAAGGTTTCTTTCCTGTTGCATTACATCTATAGTTTTTGTTTGTTTTTCTTGGTTGTAAGGTGAATTTGTCAGCTACGAGCTTGGTTCTACTTGTCTGTAAGTGGCACAGAGATAGTTTGAAAGCGTTGCTGATTTTTTAGTGCTAGCAGAGTCTTTCTGCCACCAGAAAAGTTATGGAGAACAGGTGCATTACTACTCCCAGCTTGTTTTATAAGAGTTTGTCAGCTGTAGAATGGTTATACTCACAAATATAGTGCTTTAGTTGTCTTTCTGAGGATTGTCTCCATGTCAAGTAGCAACATCTGATTACAAGGTCTGTGGAGAATTGCTTTTTCATTTGTTGGAGTGGGAGTCCTTATGGAGAAAGAAAAAAACTAATGGTGCTTGTTTTTTCTCAATGTATTTTCATTTCTTCTGCTCTGTACCCCATGCCTGTCTTTTTATTTTAGGAAAAGATCTGTGTTCCATCTTGCAGTGAAGTACTGCTGCTTAAGTGGAAGCTGATAAATGATTAAAATGTGCTGAAGGTGTGCCCCTCTCTGTTGGTGGAAACGTTTCAATCTTTTTTTTTTTTAAGTAACAAAATTCTATAGACATCTGGGGGGAAAACCTCTTCAGTTCATTATCTACAATGCTTTAATTTTGTGATAGATCTGTAATAAAGTTTGTTGTTCAAAAATAACAAATGAACACGTAGGAAGACAGCGTATCCTACAGCTTCTCACCATTTGCTCTGTTTCTTCTAAACAGTTCTTGGCTTTGCACATTGTGGTTGCCTAGACAATTTGGGAGGTTTGTTTGGCAAATGACTTGTAAGACAATCTAATCTATGGCAGAAGTTCAGTCCCTTTCTGCTTCAGAAAAGGGCATGTTACATCCAAGTCATCCTCTTCCAAATGGAGCAGTTGATTTCATTTTCTGGAAAACTTCTTCAGGTTTTTAGGACTCCTGCTATGGAAAAATATGCTTCAACACCTAACGTTGCCTTTTTAAAATAATACTTTAAGGCCGCCATCAACATAATATGTAAAAAGTCAATTTGTTTTGGTAGTTAATCTCAGTAATCTCTTAATTTGCTAGCCATAACTATTGTTGCTTTCATTACGAAGAGCAGATAGGTTAGGACAGGCTGATTGCATTCCTGCATGCCGGAAAGGAGAAAAAAAGTGCTTGTCCAATATTGTTTTAGCTGCTACCATAAATTGTAATACAGTGGTACCTCGGGATACGAACGCCTCTACTAACGAACTTTTCGGGTTACGACCAGCTCCGGCCGCAAAAATTTACCTTGTTGTGCGAACTCCGCCTCGGGGTACGGTCATTTTTCCGCCCTGACACATGGCCCGCGGCCATTTTTCCGCCCCTGCCACGTGGTCCGCGGCCATATTTCCGCCCCTGACACGTGGTCCGCAGCCATTTTTCCGCCGCGCTGCGCGGCGCCCGGCCGTTTTCCTGCTGCGCCGCACCGTGCCCGGCCGTTTTCCT